ACTACCCGTCCTCACGGCCCCCCGCGATCGGACATCTCGGCACTTCCCCTCTGCAGGCCCTGGCTTCACGCAGACTCTGGGCGTGCAGGGCCAAGCTGCGGGCACGCGGAGATGCACGCTTCCCCTGGCCAGCGCCCCTCGGTGCAGGCCACATGAGTGACTCCTGAGCGCCCCATGGGAGGGGCGACTCTGGCCGGCCACACGGGCCAGCTGTGTCCCGCCGCCCGCACAGTGGCCACAGCCGTTTCTGAAGAGGGAGGAGAGGGCACTGGCTGCCGGAGCCACAGGATGCGCTAAAATAACCCAGCTCCGGCAAGGCTCGTGGTTGCCGGCTCTCACGGCAACCGGGCGAGTTTTCCATTTTCGTTTGTTTTATAATTATGTGCAAGTTCTATTTTTATCCAATATGTGGTCCTCCGACCAAAAAAGAAAACAAACCCCCAAATCCCCTCTTTTTAACTGCTGGCCTCGCACTTGCATGGACATAAACTCACTTTGCCACTGATGGATCCGAGAACTCTAGGTGACTAATTTCTCACCAACGAGCTCTCCCGACGGAGTCGGCCTGACATTTTCTGCTGCGAGCACCGGCAGTTTTCGGTTTCAGCTGTGAGGGGGCGGGGAGGGGGCGTGTGTTCTGCTCAAGCCCTTCGCCGGCCTTTCCCATTTTGCTGTCATTTGACTTGGAATCATTTCGGAGGTCACGTTTGTAAGATATTTAAAATTCAGTTTCAAGTGCTGATTTCTCCAAAAGGCCTCGGTTCTCTGTGTGTGGTCTACACGGGTGGCGAACACCACCGAGTGCCTGAGAGATCGGCCGGCAGGAACGGACAGCAGCGCTGTGCGGCCCTGTCACCCTGTGTGCAGGAGCCAGCACCTCACTGGGGGCCCCGGCTGAGTTGGGGGCCACCTCGCCAAACCCCAGGGCTGACCACCCTCCTCTCGCTCGGCCCCGCCTGGACGGTCCTCGGCCACACGTGCAGACGGCCGGCCACCGTGAGCTGTACTTCGCATTCCAAGGACAAACGGTGACACACGTGCGCCCACACCCCGCCCCCTCGGGGCCAGCGCCCCCGGTGACAGGTGACAGGATCGCGAGGGGACGCGGCCCCCGTTTCTCTGCTGCCTCATTTCCATTTCTCCTCCCGGCCCCTCCGCTGTGCCGTCCCTTCCGCCGCACGCCTCGCGCTCTCGTTCCGTGCAGACCTCAGCAGGGAGGGACCGCAGCGCCTGTGGTGACCGGCTGAACGCAGGCGCCGCCTGACCTGCCCCCGCCCGGGAAGACGGCGGCTAAAATGCCAGCGGCCGCGGTGCCGCGCCGAGCAGCTCGCCAGGCAGGTAGTAATTGGCACCAAGCGCACAGCCACAGAACCCGCCGTCCCCGAGCCCGGCCGAGGGCCGCCCTCCCAGCACCTTCCCTGCCGTGCTGGCTCTCGCCTGGGCGGACGGCCATTTGCCTCCGTGCCCTCCGTCCCTCGCAAGCTTTTTATTTACCTAGATGGAATAAAATTAATAAAACTACGATGCCCTGCTGGGCACCTTCTCCGCTTGCATCATTCCCTGGATGGCAGGGTGGGGCGCCCAGTCTGTGGGGGGTGCAGATTGGGGAGAAGCACCCTTTGTCAACACTGCACGGCCTGGAGCTCTGGGCGGGGCCAAACTCACCCCCATCGTGGCTGTCACGTCAGGGTCCAGGGCACGTACGGCTTATTAGCTCACATGTGACCAAAGGGACCTCTGACGCCCGCCAAACAGCCCGTCTGGGAGTTCACAGAGCAGCTGGAGAAGGGTGGCGACACTGTGTCCCTGCTGTGGTGCCCGCAGCTCCCTTCCTGCCAGCCATGACCGCGGTGACTCCGGGTAAGTGGTGTCCCCAGAGCGCTGTGAGGCGGGGCCACCCCCAGGCGGCTCCCTGCGTGGTGCGTGCCTGTCGGCCTCCCCCGCGTGAGCCCGCACGGGCTGCCCTGGGCCTGATGCCTCGGGCAGGCCCTCCACGGGGATGGACCACTGGGCCACCGGGCCCCAGCTCCGCCCAGCACAGCCTTGTGTGTCGTGCGGCCCTGTGAGGCCGGGCGGGAGCCACAGTCTGACAACCTCGGTTTTACAGAGGGAGGCGGAGTGGATCAAGTCAACCACTGAAGACGTCCAGATCAAAGGCTGGTCCGTGGGGACGGGACACGCTGTGGCAGACCTATGGTGGTGGCCGAGGAATCTCGGTCAGCTGTGCTGACCCGCTGTTAGGCCACATGCAAGAGGCTGAGCAGCCAATCTCGGCCTCGGCGACTTCAGAAAGCAGCCCGGGAGGCAATGGTTCAGGGCAGGGGTCCAGGAACAGGACGGAGGTCTGGGGACAGGGCAGGGGTCCGGGAACAGGACAGAGGTCTGGGGACAGGGCAGGGGTCCGGGAACAGGACAGAGGTCTGGGGACAGGGCAGGGGTCCAGGAACAGGGCCAGTCCCGAGGGAGAGGCCCAGGGCTCTGCCGCGGGCCAGGCACACACTCCCCCGCCCCCCACCTGACCCATATGCTGGCAGGACCGGACATTTCTGAGCAGGGCAGGGCAGGGCAGGGCTCGGCTGGACAGAGCAGGGAGGCCGTGCGCCCCTGTTTTGCTGGGCTCTGCCCATGACCGTGGGTCACAAAGGGCCTGCAGCCTGCGGGACGGCACCAGGCCACTCCCAGAAATACCCGTAGCCCCAGACCCCTGGACTTCAATCTTCACCTGGCCCTGACCACCACACTGGACACTCCTGTGCACACTGCCTGTCTCTCCCTGTGTGGGGGCGTGGTCACGAGGAGACCTGTGTCCCCCACTGGTGCATCCCATGTGTGGGGTACACGCGCAGGGTGGACGTGGGCACCACGGCCAGGCTGAAACCTATGGCCAGGCCACTGGGAGCAGAGTTCGGCCCCCTCTCAGCAGACACGGGCTTCTCTCCTCGGTTCGGATAAAGCTCTTCCCGCGAATTTGTTACAAGGAAGCTCCTCAAAGTAAGCAGTTCTGTCTCCAGGTTACACTCATTTCCGTTCACGTTTCCCATCCCAACGAACCTCAAGAATCAAATAGCGCACAGGGCGCCCCAGCCCCCTGCCCGCCAGCCCCTCGCGGGAAGGGGGCGGGTCCTCACTGCCCCCGGCTCTCCTGGCCAAGCCACTCTCCTCGACCTCAGTTTCCCTCCCCGCTACTTTTCCGTGTCAGAGCCGCTGGCACAGGTGGACAGTGTCCATCCAGATGAAGAGCAGCAGGGCTGGCGGCTGAAGTCACTCAGTGACGCACCACAAGCCACGCCCCATCAGCAACGCCGCCCACTCCGTCCCCCCCGGCGGACAGGCTACCCGTCCGGCCCCGGGCCAGGTTTTGCATCCCCGAAGCGCAGCTTCGCTGCAGAGGGGTTCCCATTTCCACGCAGCCGAGGTTCGGTGACTGCAGCTGACAGATAAGTTGCGGTAACAGGGGCCTACGATGTCCCCTCTGGCCACCGAGCACACCGAGGGCAGAGGCGGGGGCGTGCCTGAGTGTGCGGAGCCGCCGCCAGACCAGCCGTGACGCGGGACACGCTCGGAAGGGGGCGGCCGGGCGGCACCGTCGGGCGTCCCCACCAAGCTGCCCGGCCGACGCGCTACCTGCACGCTGGGGTGTCCTCCGGCTGACGCCTTCACGGCCCCCCGGCTGCCCTCCGTCTCGTAGTGGGCTCGGTGGTGCGACTTCGGCTGCACCTCGATCCTCAGCTCGTAGGGTCCCGAGTGCGACGGCAGCTGCCAGTCCAGAGCGGGCAGGGTCGGGCTGGAGGGAGGCAGAGCGTTAGACGTGAGCGCAGGCCACCCAGCGCCTGCGCCCCCACTGCGAGGCCCGGTCTTGCCGGGAGCGACTCGGAAGTCTCCAGAGCCGGCGTCCACGTGACCGCGTGCGGCTAGGGCCTGGCCATCTCCGCGACGTGGCCGAGGGAGACACTTCCCACACGCGCCTTCCACGGCAGGCCCCCGTCAATTACGTAACCTCCATGAGATTGAGGCAGGGTGCAGCACTAATCAAAGATCTTTCTGGAATCACGGAGGGTCGTGCCAGGTCTGAGACCTCGCGAGCCTGATTGTCCCTCCCCACACCACCCTCTGGGGCTGGCGGCCCCCAAACCCCATGACTCGTGCAGACCAACGGGACAGCCTGCCCAGTGGGGACCGAGAGAACAGCTGTGCAGCCAGGAGGGCTCTCTGTGAGCTTGTTTGTTACTTAATGTCACCCAGAGGTGACACTAAGTTTTGGCACTGGCGAGGGGTAAGGGCGAGAGCGTGGCGTGTGTCCCCAGAGCCCAGGGCACTGCATGTAGACACAACAGCCCATTCTGTAGGTGAGGGACTGGGCTTTGCAAGGTGGGCCAGGTGCCCGAAGCCAGGTCTGCACGACCCCAAGGGCCCCTCCTACCCCCGCAGGACGTGCTGTGGGGTCCCGACAGAAAAGAGCCACGCTGCCCGTGCCGACCCCTGGTGAGCCAGCAGCTGCACGCACTTCCCCTCGGCAACCCCGAGACGTGTAAGCACGAGGAGGCTGTGCCCCAGTCGGAACCTCCAGATCATAATGGGACCCCAAGATACGGGCCAGCAGCCAGCGGCTGGAGGGCCCGGCCGTGGGCGTGGGGCCAAGGACAGCCTCTCAGCACAGGAACGGCTCCCACATGGGGGGCTCATGGGGGACAGTCTCCCACAGCCCTCAGCCCTCTGCTCTGAAAGCGGTCCCATGTAGGGCCGCCTCAAGCCCGGGGCCTCCCTCCCTCCCTCTGTGCCTCTGCCTGGTGGCTTCGCTTAAAGCCCTCTATGCTGGGGGTCCCCAATCCCCAGGCTGCAGGCCGGTCCCGGTCCCTGGCCTGTCAGGAATGGGCCACCGAGCAGGAGGGGAGTGGTGGGCTAACGAGTGAAGCTTCATCTGTGTTTGCAGCCGCTCCCCAGCGCCAGCATCACCGCCTCAGCTCCGCCTCAGATCAGCAGGCACTAGATTCTCATGGGACCACCAGTCCCTGGGGCCAAAAAGATTGGCGACCACTGCTCTTTGCCACCAACCTACGACCCAGCAGACATGAGCGTGATGGAGGAGGACGCCCCTCAGAGTCCACATGACGCCAGTGGCCACCATGCTTCTCACCCAGCACAACCTCTGTCACCACTAGAGAAGTTCAACCCTATAACTTGAGCAATAAACGTGGAACAAACACGCCCGAGCCTGAGAATGAGAACATGCGGAGTCGCGGGGCTGGGCATGTGTGCCAGCCACCGTCAGATGCAGTGCCACCTCTGAGCGACACGGCACCGCAGCCGGGCGAGAGCTCCTGACCAGAGATGCGCCGTGATGCGTGCGGCAGCCTCAGGGGCTGAGGCCGGCAGGGGCACTTCCTGCCTGAGGTCAGCAGCGTCCCTGCTCCGTTTCCGGCAACTCTGCCAGGAGGAAGGAGCGGCCGCTGCCCGCTGGGCCGCCCGCAGGGGCCGGGGCGGGGGCCAGGGCCGCTGGGCCGACACGTGACCACCACTTCATGGAGCCCGCCCCGGCCCCCAGACAGATGGCACCAGCAAGTGCCGCCAAGACCCCGAGATCCCGAGACCCTGCTGCCAGCGGCCGGGCCTCTGTCGACAGCACCCACTGTGCTGCCCTTCGTTACACGTAAACTGCTGACCTGAGTAATAAGACATCTTTCACTACAAACAGAAAAGGAAGCAAATAAAAAGTTAGGTCCCTCTGACTCCCAGGAAATTAAAAGAGAGAGAGAGAGAGA